TATGGAGAATCATTTTGTATTACTGGTTTTACAAATCACCATCTTAAATAACTATTATTAGATAACTTTAAAATAAAAAGTATTATAACATGAGAGAGATCAGATTTAAAGGTCTCGTGAAGTGCTTTGAAATGTGCTTTTTTTTTTATTTGATGTTTGATCGAAAAAAAGAGAGGGTGGGATATCTATTAGCTACACCCCTTTAAAACAACAGCCAATAGTGTTTTGTTTTTATTAGTGCATCAAATGAAAAGCATATTGAAAGGGGTGGGGCTTGTCTAGAAAGCAATTGATTGGCCAGAAGATGTGATGAGAAACTGAATTATATTGAAAAAAAAATGTGTTGATCCATTTAGGCAAAGTGACAAACTGCTAGATTTGGATGCTTATATCAGGTTTATATCCTCCAAACGCTTTTGGGAGCACACTAGATATTGTTAAAACCATCATGCTGATACTAACATCTAAAAAATACTTTAATTTCACAGGACCTTTAGGACCGGCAACAAACAACGTCAGGAAATTATATATATACTTGTAGCATTCTGCATGTGCTAAATTGTGTTCAAGACTAAACACCACCTTTCAAAAGTTTGTCGTTAAGACTTTGTTTATTACTACTAATTATTATTATTATTATTATTATTATTATTATTAATAAACAATAATATTATTATTATTATCCCCCCCCAGAAGTCTCGACTACTCACCATGATTGCTTTTGTTTCATTAACAATACAGTAAAACATTAATTTTGTGAATTATATTTAACCTAAATAAATCTTCCATTTAAATACATGTTAAAATGGGATATATTTCCTTGATTCAAAGTTGAATGTGTTAAAATGTTCCCATTCTAATATAGACTGTAAATATATTTTATAAATATACTATAGAAGATATTTTAGCAAGCTTCATGGCTGCACCTATTCCATCCAAAAACACTTTAAAAATATTGTAAGATATAATTAATGCAATATAATGTTATTTATATTTATATAGCGCATTTACTATGTATGGCCATACACCCAAAGTGCTTCACAGTCATGAGGGGGGTCTCTCCACACCACCACCAGTGTGTAGCATCCGCTTGGATGATGCGACGGCAGCCACAGGACAACAGTCACAGAAACAGTGAAAGGGCCAATTTGGTGGATGGTTATGATTGGGAGGCCCTGATGGGTAAGGGACGATGGAGGGTATTTGGCCAGGACACTGGGGTTAGAAGTGCCATGGGATTTTTAATGACCACAGAAAGTGAGGACCTCAGCTTGACGTCTCGGCCACAGACAGTATAGTGTCCCCTTCACTATACTGGGGCATTAGGACTCAGACCTCCTGGCCTCACTAACACAATCTCCGACAGCAACCTGTTGAAAGGTACTGACCAGGTTCAGCCCTGCTCAGCTTAAATGAGTAACCGGTCTTGGGCTGCAGGGTGACATGGCTGTGTAATTTAACTTAGTGTAATTGTGACTATAAAAAAACTGGTTTCTATTTGAACATATTGCAAAAAGTAACTTATTCCTGTGATTTACAGCAAAATTGTTTGCATATTCCATGTCATATGATGCCTCAGAAATCATTAAAGCATAATCTGCTGCTCAAGAAGCATTGAGTGTTATATTTCAGAATGGTTTTCCTTTCAAAAACAAGTTTCTTCATGTTTTGTTGACAAATAAAGTGCAAATTCTTGGCTGATTTAAGTAAATAAAATGTACAATTGTCATTTTTAAACAAAATTGTAAATTAATAAAATATGTAATATTAGTGTATAAAAACAACTAAATTTTGTTTTCAGTGAAATACACCTAAATATTTCTGAAATATTTGGTATTTGTAACTCTATTTTAGAATTTATAATTCAAGATTTATTATGATTACTTTATAAATTAACCAAATAAATTAATTAACTTGAAATAATAAATTTTCAAGCCATATCTCCCAGCCCTAGTACTGACCAGCAACATTTACTTATTAAGTTAGCGGTTAAGATTGTTAAAACAATAGTTATAATTTAAAACCACAAAACTCCTATACACGGACTCCACAAGTCACGCGTCTTGTGGAGCTCCAGAGATAGCAGAGTGTTAAACAGAAGGAAGAGTCGCGAACTGTAGACGGGGTGAGAAGGGGGTTATGGGTAACGGGAAGGCACAGGCAGAGACCGCAGATGAATTACATTGAAGTCATGTCATTGAGAGCGTGGTCCAGCTCCTCGCTGATGGCTTTGTACTTGAGTTTCTGGGAATATAACTCATCTATGGGGATTCGGCATGAGTTTGATGGAGGGGGAAACGGAGGAACGGGTGAAGGAAGGATTTAAAGGAAACAGATGCAGGAGGGAAGCATCCAGTCCGGCGGCAGGACAGACCGCAGAGATGGAGAGAGTGGAGGGAAAACAGAAAAATCAAAGTTAAAAAGAATGAAAAGGAAATGAAACAAAGCAAATGAATGGATATCTCAAACAGATCAACTAATAATTCAGTCATCGTGAGGATAAAAAATAAAATATTTATGTGGAACGTTTTTATGTAAAAAAATTAGATCAGTCATTACATTTCACATTTGTTCCACATGCGTTCCAAAACAGTGCATCTCAAATTTTCAAAACGCATGTGGAACATAGTTTTGGAATGCAGTTTTGGAACACATGTAGAACATAATTTTGGAATGCACAGCTTTGAAACAATGTATGTGGAGCATCGTTTTGAAACTGTGTTCTACATGTGTTCCAAAATGGTGTTCCACATTTAAGTAGTAGAAAGCACCGTTTTGGAACGCAATGGATGTGAAACGCATTATTTCGGAATGCAAGTGATATACCATTTTGACACGGATAAACATAAAATATTTGGAACATAAAAAGAACACCGTTTTGGAATGCCTGTAGAACACCGTTTTGCAATGCACAGTTTTGGAACGCATGTACAACACAGTTTTGAACTTTGTTTGTTTGTTTTTACGCAGATGGAACATAATTTCGGAACGCACAGCTTTGGAACGCATGTAGAACAGTTTTGGAATGCACAGTTTTAGAAAGCAATGTGTGAAACATTGTTTTGGAATGCATGTTAAAACAATGTTCCATATGTGTTGCAAAACTGTGCAATTTAAAACGGTTCTACATGCGTTCTAAAACACATGTGGAACACTGTATTGGAATGCACCATTTTTGGAACGCATGTGGAATAGCGTTTTGCAGGTCGGCATGTGGAACATCATTTTGGAACGCACATGGAACACCATTTAACACAATTTTGAACGCATGTCGAAGACCATTTTGGAATGCACAGAACATGAAATTGTTTTGAAACATTGTATTGAGTTGCATGGAAACATTCCAAAACCACATGCTTAATGCTTGTTGCAAATATCTGTTCTCCATAAGTTGGAACCGTTTTAAATGAACCATTTTGGAACATTTTCATGTGGAAGTGATAATTTCCACTAATAACACATTAGTTCCAAATAGGTTACATGATTAATACATCTGAAGTTTATGTGACTCGTGTTTTTCCTGTTTGACAGTGGAAAAGAAATTTGAATGACAAAGAGGGCATTTACATCACACCCGTTCTAATAAAAAAATTATTTAACTCTTCATTTACATTTATTCATATGGAGGCCTGAAAACATAGAAAAAGGGTTTCAAAGTATAAACATTTAAAAAAAAAACCTTGTCTAACCTAAGACAACATTATACTATTATAAAAATATAATAAAGTAAAAATAAAAACTACATATTGAGCTATATTATATACACCATCTACTAGCTAAACAATTAAGTATAATTATTCAAAATACAAATATAATTGTTTATTGTTAAACTTAATTGTAAAGCATTTGTATTATTTTTAAGTTTACCTTTAAATGACTAAAAATAAAACACTTTAGTTGAATGGTTTTAGTTACATTACATTAACCCTGTTACTGAGTTCAGCAGCTTCAGTTGCCATTGTGAAAAATGTACTCTGGTATTTATATATTTTTAATTTTTTGATAAAATATCTTCATGTTCCACAAAAGAAAAAGAATTCAAAAAAGGTTTAAAACGAAATACAGGCAATATATATATATATATATATATATATATATATATATATATATATATATATATATATATATATATATATATATATATATATATATATATATATATATATATATATATATATATATATATATATATATATATATATATATATATATATATATATATATATATATATATATATATATATATATATATATATATATATATATATATATATATATATATATATATATATATATATATATATATATATATATATATATATATATATATATATATATATATATATATAAAAATATAAATAAATATAAAAATATATATATATATATATATATATATATATATATATATATATAT